GGTGACGTAGCTCTGCAGCATCAGTTACCATGGTGACGTAGCAGGTTAAACTCAACCTACCTGCTAGCCATGAACCTCTGTCAGTAGTGCAGCCCTGTGATCAGCTGAGACCTGATGGGTGTATTGATTATTGATTATTGATTGTTGAGTCTCTGACCTTCCAGCGCCCGTACCGGTCGGCCACGTATCCTCCCAGAACTCCACAGACCATGAAGCCCAGAAACACCATCTGAACCAGACACACAATGTCTCAGACTGAAGGAGGCATGTTCCCTGTGACTGACTGATTGATTGATTGACCGGAGTTATTGATCACTCAGACCTGATCAGCGACTCACCGTGGAGACGAGAGCGACCTGCCAATCATCCAGACGCCACTCGCAGCGGATCTCCGGAGAAACTACGGCCAGCAGCATGATCTCCATCGCCTCCACTATCTGTACACACAGAGTAGCATCAGGAAAGTAACGGCAGTAATCTGATTACTCTGCTGTAACTGTAATGCAACTGACGTTGGAGCTGCCCATGATGACGAACAGCAGGATGTGAAATCGCCCAAAGCCGATTTTTTCGACGGCTTCTTCAACGGTGAAGGTCTCACCTGCAGGAGACACAGAAGTCGATCAATACGTCTATTGATCTGACCGTGATCAGCTCTGATTACTGACAGGAAATAAGCAAGAATTCAATCAATCAATAACAAAAGACGAGAACAGTCAGATGCTGCAGTTTCCAGATGTTCCCTGAACGTATCGCAGTCGTCAGTAGATGAAGATATTTTGGACGTTTCTGAATCGTTTTAAACAGTTTTTATGTTGTTTTGGACAGTTTGATGTCATTTTAGGCTAAATGTGAGAAAACTCACGATGAATGTTCTATCAGAACCTTCATCTAACCTCCTGGTAACCATCAGGACCCTCAGACTGACCTCCCGACCCTGCTAGAGGTCCAGAACCCCAGTTTGGGAACCAAGCTGACTGACTGTTGATCGTCAGACTCACCGTTGCTGCCCTGCCGCTTGTCTGCAGGCTTCTCCTGCAGCTCCACCTCCTGCAGGTGGATGGCGCTCACCAGCTGCGTCTTCATACCGTCGCCCATCCTGAAACAGCACGTTTCCATGGTTACGCACAACAATCTGAGACCGCTGAAGGTTTCTGATGCAAAAACCAACATCTTTAAACAAACATTTTCTTTTTTTATTTTGTTTTAATGGATTGTAACGAGTTCAGACTGCAGCTGCAAGAATAAATTAATTAGCTGTTAATGATTAAACTAACTGCCAGCTGTTTTGATAATCAATTAATTGGTGTGACTAATTTTTTTGATGAAAAAAGTACAAATCCTCTGATTGTAGTTTCTTAAAAGTGAACCTCTTTCCTCCTACATGACAGTAAACTGAAGATCTTTAGACAAAACGCTGAGAAGCTTCCAGTTCCATTAGTTTGAACGGACGGAAATAAGTTTCAAAGTCAGATTTACTTCATTTGACTTTAACTGACATTTAGTTCTGAGTCGACCTGGGGAAGCTTCAATACACTTTGGACCATTTATGAATACTTTTGAACCGATTTTAAGTCATTTTGAACCAGTTTTGAGCCATTTTGGGGTAATTTTTAAGACATTTGTACAAGTTTTGATACATTTTGGCCGATTTGTGTCAGTTTTTACAACTTTTGGGTAGTTCTGGACAGATTTCAACACATCTGTCCTGTTAGGTTCTTGGAAACATGATTCACATGTTTTGCCGTTCGTCTCACAGTTTACAGATCAAACAAGAATTTCATGTTAAACGAAGCAGTAACATTGGGCTCAGTTAAAGGTTTGGAGTTCCACAAGGCGCAAACCTGGATCCTCGACTATTTCACAACCTGTTCAAAGCAAAACACATCTGGAGAACCTCAAGGTTCAAGTCTGGGCCCACTGATGTTCAGTTTCTCATGTTTTCACCACGTGTTGTCAGAAACTGCAACAATAAGCCGATTATGTGTAAACTAATCACCAACTGTTCTGATGAATATTAATCTGTGTGAGTATTTTTTTTAATTCAAAAAGTCTAAATTCTGTGATTCCAGTTTCTTAAATGTGAATATTTTCTG